GGGGGGGGGGGGGGGGGGGGGGGGGGGGGGGGGGGGGGGAAGGGCGCAACGGGTTTCGTTCAGGGCAGGGGAAGGAAGAGGGAGCTGAAATAGATGGATTTAATGGCTACATGGCGTAGATTTTTTGTCACTTGGTTAGGTCACGTACATTTGGAAGGGAGGGAAGGTGATAGGTAGAAAGGAGGAGAATGTGTGCCGCTGGTTTTTGTCGCGCACACTCGTGATAGAAAAAGACAGAAATATTGTTGCTTCCACAGTGCTGTTATAGTGGTGGTTCAGAGCAGCTCTGTTGTTGCTTTGCACGCAGGATTTGCGGAAATGGGAAAGAGGAACGAGGATAAGAGTCAAGAGCTGGAGGCAAGAACTGAAGACAACACTAAAGAGGACGAAAAAACACAGCACTACAAAGAAAAGTGAATTAAAGCAAGCCTGAGCCTATGAATAAAAGCAAAATAAATAGCAACACGCACCAGACTAGCCGGTGCGATCATGCATTTTGTGCAATTCAGCCCATCGAACAATTGCCTATTAATGATTTTCACTGCTTTGTACTTTTGCCTATGCAAAAATAGTTCAAACGTAGGAAAATAGTTAAAAACTTCACGCCCCAACGCATGAAAGCTGAATTCGAAACTTTGAAGGGTGAATATCTTTCTGTGATTCCCGAGTTAATAGTTTAACCAGCAAAATTCCCACGAGTCCGTAGGTGATACTCAACAGCGAGGGAACGCTGAATTTGAATAGGCAAGGCTGAGCGTGGGCAGGAGGTTATTACCCTAAAATTTCAGCTTCCTAGACCCCGTGGTTCCTGAGATATTAATTTGCTTGTAAAAAATTTTCGCGGGGCCGTACGTGTTACCCGCGGGTACGGGAAGGCTGAATTTAAATTTGCCGCGTCACCCGTTGGCGAGGAACACTGTACCGAAATTTCATCCGCCTAGCTTTTGTGGTTCCCGAGTTGAAAGTGCGGGATAAAATGTGGGACACACACACACACACACACACACACACACACAAACACACACAGACAATCCCGTAACAATATGCGTTTTGTAACGCTGTTACACAGCACAAAACGCATAAAAAGCAACCTAGAAGGAAACGCACCAGGTTTGCCGGTGCGATGATGCGTTTTTGCACTAAATTAAAGCAAATAGGTCGCTAACTGTATAAGCCTCTGCTGCTTTGCACTTACCTTGTGCGCTCACTAGCGTAAGTCATCGCAAATTTTGCGTAAGGGAGAATGAACAACTTCCGCTCAACGTTCGTTCTTTAGGAATGACCTAGCTCTTCGGTGAGCAATTTTCTCGCCAAAACGTTTAAGTGCCTGTACGTAAGAACCGTGCATACCTAGGTTTGAACTTAAAATCTTTATGTTGTACTTGGACAGCGAACATTCCATTAAAACTGCAGCTTACCAGCTATTCTGATTCCCGAGTTAGCAATTTTTCCACCAAAACATTTACATGCCCGCGTGTAAGTACTGTGCGCACTTGGAGGCCAAATTTAAAATAATCTTCAAGTTTTACGTGGACAGGGGATACCTCCTTAAAATTCGAGCTTTCTAGCTTTTCTGGTCCCTAATTTAGCAGTTGTCGCCTCAAAATTTTGACGTGTTCTCACTTGAGACTCAGACGTACTAGGGAATTGAATTTGAAATCTTTTGGTCGTAGATGAACAGAGCACACTACCCTAGAGTTTTAGCCCTCTAGCTTTTCTCGTTCCCGAGTTAACAATTTTTTCCGCTGAAAATTTCACTTGCCCATACTTGGAAAGTGCGTGATGGTTCCCGGAGCCGCATTTGGCCGGAGAACACAATGGCAAAATTTCAGTATCAAAGCTTGCATGGTTGCTCGTACAGACGCATACACGCAAACAAGGTCGTCACAATATGCGTCTTTGCTGCCTATTGCAGCGCCCTAGCCCTGCACCAGCAAAAGCGCATAAAAAGCATTTAAAAAAAGAAAACTGGGCCTATGCGACTGGAAATTGTCCTGTAAAAACCCATTTTCAGCAGACAGCTTCCCTATTTATGAAGCTGATGTTTCGGTAAAGCTGAGAACGATTTAATCCCACTGCAGGATATGAACTGGGTACAAACAGAGGTGAAGTTGATGCATGAGGATGCAATCACCCTTTGCTTGAAGGCAAAGGAGAAGTTTGATGCTGTGCACAGTCACAGGCTGCCAAAGGCAACAAAATGAAGTCGTATGGAGTTTCTGTACAAGTCCGATCGAACTTATTCGCTCTCAGCTTCGCCTAAACATCAGCTTCATAAATAGAGAAGTCCACTACAGAAGACGGGTATTGCAAGACAACTTCCACTCGCGTAAGCTCGGTTTTTATGCGTTTTTGCCTATATGCAAATTGCAAAAACACATATCGAGACGGCCCCGTCTGTGTGTGTATGTGTGTGTATGTTTATGTGTGTGTGTTCGTCTGTTCGGGTATTTCAACTCGGCAACCAAGCAAGTTCCAGCGCCGAGATTTTGCTATAAGGTACCCCGGCCAAATACCACCCCAGAACCGCGGTACCATCCCTCATGCATGTCTGGGCCCTGCGTACGAGAGAGAGAAAGTTTTGGCGGAAAAACTGATAACTCGGGAACGCGAAAAGATAGGAAGCTGAAATCTTGAGGTTATGTTACCCGTCCAAATATAACTCAAAGATTTCAAATTCAGCCTCCAGGTGCGGGGGATTCCCGCGCACATACGGCCCCGCGAAATTTTTTGGCGGGAAAACGGCTAACTTGGGAACCAGCAAAGCTGGGAGGCTGAAATTTTAAGGTGATATTCCCACCCCATATACGACTTAAAGTTATCAAATTCAGCCCCCAGGCGGGCGTGGTTCTCGTGTACGGGCACTTAAATTTTTGGCGGGGAATTACTCATTGAACGGCCGCGTCATTTTCATAAAACGACCGCATGATCGCACCGGCTCGCCTGGTGCGTTCCAGCCTGGGTTATTTTCTATTGTTTTTT